CTTATGTAACTAAGCAAAAGCTTGCCCCGAATCATGAGGTATAGCAACTGTAGCTTTAGTATGGAGAATCCAAGTTGTTATGTTCACGTGAATTAAAGAACTCAGTGTACCAGATCTGGGTCAAAGTTAACTTGCAAAAGGCTTATTCTAGGTTCTGAGGGATGTCAAACTTAGTTGCACTCTTCTCACTGACAACAAAATCCACTCTGTAATATTTTCTGGGAGCATGGTAAAAACCCACCCCAACAGAAGCAAAATTGTGGTTTTTTTAAATTTTAAAATTCTTCTGAAAATTCACAAAATTGGGATCAGTTGTCAACAGTATTTCCAAACCCCCACCAGAATGATGGACATCTCATGATCAAGAGACAAGAGTTCACTCCTTGTACAAGCAATGCATGTTTCCCAAGCAGACATTGCACACCATAGACAATAGCTTTGCAGATGAACTGACACTGTGTTGAGGCAGTGTTTGCTTACATGTATATTATAATCTTTATGAAAAATATCTTGGGTATGGGTATTTGTGAGGGAACCCTTAAATTTACTATACCGCAACCATGCCAATCACATCACAACCCATGCAAACAGAGTGTTCAATCAAGCATCTTTTTTTCACACAATCATTTGCACTTTTTTCTGGTTAATACTTATGCATGTAGGCCCTATGCTACGTCAATTAATGAGACATGGAATTAAGCTACTGTAGCATTCATAATGTTTTCACTTCAAATGACTTTCATTGTTTTGTGACATTGAGTTCCTGTTTTTGGGAGGGGGTCACTTTCAAAAGGTAAACTTTAAAAAATGGCTGGTAGTAATTATACATGTAAGATAGTTCCAATGTCAGTGTGATGATAATGCCTGACATCAATAATTGCTACCAGCTACACTGACAAGTAGAGAACAAATATGCATAACCTATTCTGAAAAGAGGCCCTTCACAAAAACTACCAATTTTATATTCTGTTTCTCACAGTGGGTTAAGGGGACTAATGAGACACAAGACCTTCATTCACTGCCCGCATCAGTGGTTAGAGTGTCTCCTGATGTCGGGCAAGTCTAAGTACTGAAGAGCAAACGGCACTTGGTAGAAGTAAAATTAATTCAGAAAACAAAGATGAACTTGTGTTGACTGTCAGCCAACATAAATGTACTGGTACATTGCCAATCCTCAAAGAACAGTATTTTACAGTTACTCTTGTCACTAATTGCATGTACATTTCTTGTTTTTTAACTTGTAACGCATGTACATGTCGCAGTGCCAATGGAAGTGTGCTATAATCCTCAAACCAAGTTATCGAAACTGCAAGATCACCCAAGCCTTTGTGTTTGAGTGAACTTGATGTCATTGGTTTTCATTATCTGCAGCTAGAGATATGTATGAGACTACATGTACTTTGCAGCTAGGCAAGGAGGCCTATCCCCAAATGATAGCTGATAGCAATGTCCTGTTGGCCTACCTTCAGGAATCCTGCAAAATCTTTCACACAGGTGGATACTGATGGATCTTGGAGACTTAGGCTACTGTAATTAATCCCAATAAGACCATTGGTGCAATTGACAAACTTGACCTTTTGCACAGATCATCTTTTTCAATGCAGAAAAATATAGCATGAAGTTGACTTGAAACACTTACATGTACATACATGTACATGTACAAGAATTTGACTCTCTACTTGGTCTAAACTGTAGGGCCTACATGTATTACTTGAAGAATGTCTGAGACCCTGTATACTGTAGATACCGATAGCTTAAAACCGCACAGCAAACTTTATTTTAACTGTCAAAGTTTGTACAAAAGCAACTGCACTCAAGCTGACTTTGGCCTCAAACATTTACATCTATAATATCTCATGGTGGGATGCAAGAACTACTGGCGAGGACTTTTATCCATAGTCTTGCCAATTCAATCTACTTTCAAACAGTTCGCAGATACATGCCCATTGCATGCAATGGTCCAGACACAGAACCAAACTTCCGTTCATGGCTCATCTGCCTGTCCGGAGATAACATTCCTTTTTTAATTTGCAGGGTTTTGGATAAAAAACGAGTGGCAGTGGAAAGCACGAGAGCAAATCAGAGTTGCTGTACAATTGACATGCTGGCAATGACTTATGTCAATGGACAGTGATCACTTTCTGGAAAACAATAGCAAAGCATGTCAGACATGGAATGCACTGCTGTTGAACTTGTCAACAATGAAATAAATGTCAGTAAAATAAATCGGAAGGACCAAGAAAAAAGAAGGGAAAAGACTTGAAGTAGTAAATAAACAGAAAAAAATCCCTGAGGCCTCTTTGTAAGAGAAGTCAGATCTTGACCTGTACCCCTCTGAACTTTGAATGGGAGGGTTTTGACCTGGGGGTGCAGGGAGAATACTCAATCCAGTGAGGAATGGGAGGGGAGGTGGGAGGTGGGGGGTGGTGTGGTCCCAGCAAATCAATTTCAGGTGTTGATCAGAGGTCAAACAGATTAACAACAGGAATAAGTTGCTGTCTGGGTTGCAGGGGTTTGGAATAGTCTCTAAGTGATCAACTGCAGGAAGATCCTTCACAAATACATGTACCCACATGCATCTTGGATGGGAGCTGATGACTGCAGTGAGGTTAAGTGTGACAGGTGAATGCATAAAAATCAGTGGAAAGAGCATGAACCCACACAAAGGAAGCTGGATTGTGAACTGTAATACAACAATGTATCATAACTTAAATATGCAGAAATGTTCAATGTTTTCCAGCATTTGTTGGCCTAAGAACATTGAGAACAGCAGACATCAAAGGATTTTGTTGTGTTTTGCTGCTTTTTATGTCACCTTTTGGGTTACACAAGACTATTGGCCACAATGAGAAAGTAACCTCAACCTACATGTAGCATCAGTTTATGCACGTATGCATTCTATGGGCCATCATTTACAGTTCCACTTCAGAAAAATGTTTCTCTCTCTTAATAGACTGTACACTGTACGGTAGGAGACATATTAACAGTTAGCTTGTTCCCACATATTTGGTAGGACTGACGACAGAGCTACATACACATGTACCATACATACATGTATATGTAGCTCACTGAATGTATTTGGGTGTCTGGGTTTTTTACAAATTGTAAAACTGATAAATATACAAAACTGTGATTTTTCAGTACTGTAAATAGCTCACAAGGCAAGGGGTCTCTTATCAAATACCGGTAGGTTTCAAATGTCAGTTTTCACTTGTTTATAAATACAAAGGGTAAAAAAAAGGAAAAGCCTGACGATTGAACGTCTAAAATACCTGCATTTTGGGGTAAAAAATCTCAACACCTGGTAGAAAATTTGAGCAATCAGACCACTCAAACATGCATAAAACTGAAAAAAGGAGTTAGAAAAAGAGGAAATATTTAAAAAGAATTTCATTATTTCCAATTTCTAATGACATCCATGGTATTATGTAAAAGAACGTGCTCAAATAGGCTGATCTTAAGAGTATTATGTGCTTGAATTGATCTTCCACAGTGCTTTATTAATGCCACAACTGAACCATGTTACTTCAAAAAGGTTAGACAAATTAACATCCAGTTTTAGCTCTTACTGATCTGATAGGAGAAACCATTTTTGTTGGGGGTGAAAGCACAACCTTTCTATCATGGCATACCTCATAATGAAAAATAATCCCTAAATACAATAAATGTGGCAAGTACTGATGACTGGAAACATGTAAATGTAAGTACACTTCACTTACAGGGATGTTACTTAAACTGCTCTCAAGGACAGAGAGATATGTCATGCAATAAAATTAGAAACCGGGACAGAGAGTCCTGTTTCAAAACACCCACTCCATTATCAGGTGATAACTTCCGCTGTTGGTTCAAGGCATTCTTTCACCACTGTTCACAGGATGTCAGAGGGTCCATTGTCATATTTTAAACTAAGAGATGTAGACGCAGTTGGGGGGAGGGGAGGGAATGCTGGGACCTTTTTTTATTGCCAAATTGCATTTGGGCCATTCTTGACTTCGTGTAACTGCACCTTCTATGTTAGCAAATGACATTTTAGGAGAGTCGGTTACCTACAAATTGACTTGAACTTTCCTCATATTTTCTAAACTGTGCAGGAGTTTTCTGATGACTTTGGATTTTTTTCAATGAAAGGCCTTGATTCCAAAACCAACTTTTGTCCTTCCGGATTTATTGAACTACACATGGAGAGATATAAACATAGTGTAGAATGATATGAAGGTACATAACACGTAAGCACATCATGATCAAGAAATGAGCACAGCTCAGGGAAGGGTTCAGGGTTTCAAGCCTCCCTCCACTGTCCACTTTGCTGATCTTTGTTGCACAAGGCCATATCACACTCATGGTCTTGTCTTGTACCATGGATGTTTACGACTGAATGAAATCCTAAGTGTGCGGCAGCCACCACTGACATGTAAAAGGATCATGCCCTTTGACTTTTGCTCCAATGGGACCTCTGTCACATGTTACCTCCCCCCACCCCTCTGGCTGGCTACACCCCTGCAATAGAACTTTACATAAGCTATTGTGAAATAAAAGACATTGAAGACACTGAAGTACAGTACATTAATTCAGATTAGCCTAGTTCAAATGTACTCAACATGTTCTTGCATCAATTAGTGCAAGTTTTATATACAGTGTATGTACAATCAGGTAAGTTTCTGACGGTGGATTTCATTTGGGGTGTTTATTTTCAGAAGTAACAGAAAGAGCACAAAAATTACCTTCAGATTTTTCAGAAAACAAAATCTCGTAAGATCATCCTCCAACTCTGTTGAATTACACCTAATTCACCAAAACCTCCAAACTCTTGTTGATTCTTTCATGGAGAACTAAGTCGTACATATGACCATGGTCTAAATATGTACATATAGGCAAAAAAATTGAAAGACAAGCCACACTAGAAAGCGCCCTCACAAGCTGCCCGGTCAGTCAAAGATGGCCATCAGGTTTAGGATGAGGGGTCACCACTCGGCACACAAAAAGGATGAACTCTGACTCACCTGTCAGTGCCACAGAGTGCGCGCTCCCTCCAGTTGCCGCAATCACATTGGACTGGCGTGTCATTATGCGTGCTGGCTGCAGAATATCCTCCCTGCGCCGTCCACAGGCCCGGCCAAAACCCCAGGTGTAAAGTTCTCCAGTGGCTGAGAAAAACACGAATCAAAGGAGTAGGTCACATAAGAAGTAAGAAAAGCGTTGGATGTTGAGAAGAACCATGAATATCAGGTTTTTTATGCAATTTTAGAGTATCATAGGGGAGCAAGAATCATTGTGCAGAGGAAGAACTACTGCCTTGGGCTAGATTTCCCCTCTTCTTGGACAGCAGAAAGGGTTTGTAAAGTCATTCAACTCAGTGTCCTTCTAACAGGATTTCTATTCTAGAATATTTCAGTGTCCCACATGAAACTAACTTATGTGTAGATAATATTAACATTTAATATACTCACACAGGTAAATAAAGTGACAAACAAAACCTATGAATCCCCCAAAGTATACTTATGAAAACACAACAGCCCCAAAAGCCCAACCTCCACAATTTAACTAAAAACCTAAACCCCAACGACAAGCACATGCGCAAACAACTGCAATGTTACCACTAAAACAAATCCCTACTTACATGCCTTACCAAATCTCATCTGCACTTTTCAAAACAAAACATTCTCTTACCAAGCACACACAGGGGATTACTCACACACACGCAAAACAAACAAATAAAAACTACCAACAAACACACAGATCAACAAATCCTACATATTAACAGGAAGGCATGTCATTCAACAACGATCAAGTATCAAGCCAACAGATACACATGAAGTTGCAGCAAATAATTAAGAACCGATCATAATGTGTGAAAGCAGAAGAGGAAACTTTAATGGTACTTAAAAGAAAAATGATTCTAACTTGTTTGGAAAATAAGATCTGACACGTCAAATGTACCGTATTGCCTAACTTTACCGCTACAATGCTCACAAAACAGAGGAACAAAATTTGCCTAACTTTGCCAATGTGATCTGTGACCTTACGAGGAAAGCACAAAATGCCTAACCATGAAGTCTTCAACAGGGAAGATGCCTTTTCATTGATTTTGTGTTTTAATGAAGGATGCTAGACTAAACATTACTTTTGCTGTTTAATTGTCCTAAATATATAAGTCCAATTCAATCTATATGAAATGGGAAAAAAATGGGGAGGAACAAACATTTTTTATTTATTTTTGAAAGCTGTCAGAGCGTGATTTACAATGTGACTGATCCTAAAAATCTCTGGCTGGTCTTGATGATTACCACTTTAGACAATTTGCAGTTTTCTACTTTAAGTAGAAGGATTACAACTGGCCATTTTGTTCCATGACACTGACTCAAAGGACATCAGAAAGTTAGCTCTTTCCGAAATCTGTCAAGTTGCTCCTTATAAAATCACTGGAACCACTGGAGGCTGCTTATTAATAAGAAAATAAACATTTTAGAATCTTCTTTTCCATTAATTTAAAGTTGAAAGTTGCAGTGGAGTGTTTATGAAAAATACTTGAATACACAGGACCCAAAGTAAACAAAACATAATAACTTTCGGTATGAACACAATTTTACCAGTGACTGCCAAGCTGTGGTTGGCACCGCAAGCAATGAACGCTACCCCTTCCGGCAATTCAAGAACCTTGGGAGAAACGAGTTCGGCACGGTTACCAGATCCCAGTTGACCAAAGTTGCCACATCTGTAGAGAGAAAATGTTTGTATTTGTTGATCAGTGACAAAGGATGAAACTTCCTCCAAAAGATTCTACCCAATGAGCACACACAGTGGAATAAGGGCCTTACACAGAGAGGTTGCTTGTTCACATTCTGGTCCAGAACAGGTCTAGAATGTCTGTTCTCTTTGATTCAATAGACTATATGCTTACAACTGTTCATCGGAACCATTCTTCTTTGTTCTTTCTGCCAAGGCATGAAACTATAAACAAGAGTTATTTCCAATAGGAAACTCACTCATTTTATAAAAAGAAAGATGGAACCAAATTCTGTAAGGCTTTTTCCTGAAATTATTTTCCTTATAATACAGAGTGAAAAAACTTAATTATCCCCCAAAATTTCAAATCTACCATGTGGTAAATTAGATGAAAATGACTTAAATCAATTTGAATTAGGAAAGGAATAAATACACTGGACAGCAAAAGAAACTTGCCACTTCTGTCAAAAGCCACACATAAAAATTCAGTGCATAGAAATAAACAATTTTTGTACACAGGTATGCTGCAATACTCTTTACTAATCACTTGCCCCAAAGCAGGTGATTATCTTTATAACAAAGAAGAAATTGACATGCACAGCAACTTGGTGACTGAATCAAAAGTCACACACAAAAGCACTCTCCACCAAGCAAAAATGACCCGTGAATGGACAACATTTTAAACAACCAATGACAAAGTCAACATGATGTGCATGAGTGGTTTCTTTATAGGGATGCCATCCTTACTGACAATATACACATTATTGAAAAGTAATGATTGTGACTTCTTTATTTAGTCCTTTGACATTGATTTCTGCATAAACTTTAAGGCTCATTCTGTGACTTTTGATTCAGTAACCCAGTTGCTGTGCATGTCAATTTCTTCTTTGTTATAAAAATAATCACTTTCTTTGGGTATGTGATTAGTACGGGGTATTGCAGCATACCTGGGTACAAAAATTGTTTATTTCTATGGAGTGAATTTTTATGTGTGGCCTTTGACTTAAGTGGCAAGTTTCTTTTGCTGTCCAGTGTAAATGAACCTGAATGCCACCACATCTCCCCAACTAAAATCCCACTGAAAACCAACAACTTCATGTAGAATGTAGACACAGGATTCACTTTTGCATATGGCTAAATTACCCAAGGAAGCTGTACTTCCACCTTTTGCTGAACTTGTGACCGCTATCAGATGTACAGGCTACATCCCTAACAGATTCCCCGGTTTTATTCAATAGAGGGGGCTGTTACACATGGACAGTGTGGATATTTTGACGGAGACTTTGAATGCACCCAAAGCAAGAAATCATTACAAAAATATTGCATGGCTACAAAAATGTCTTTTTCATGACAGCCTTTTGCTTTCTAATCTAAAAATACCAGCATTTTGCCCACTAAATTTCCTAATACTTACCCACATGCAGCCACTATGCTGGTTTCGTACAGGAACAGACTATGTTTCTCTCCACAAGCCACTTGTGTCACTTTCAAGTGTGCAATGGGCCGCAGTAAGTGGGGCAACACCTGCAGATTGGACAACAAGCAAGACCAGCGGCACTGTCAAATGACCAAAGTCAAAATGCAGGTATGTTATGGGCAGACGAAGTTGTACTTTATCACAAGCCCTCTGTTGTTGTTGCAAGTGCTTAGCAAGTCCTCCTCGCAAGTCCAATACAAGTCATCCAGCGTGAAGTTCAGACACAAGCTATTCCAACGAAATATGACAAAAAAGTCATCCACTCGGTCAGTGTTCACCACCTGTTATTTATGACTGGTCACACACACTCAACCCCCCAAAAATTAAAATGAGTGTAAGCAGTATAAAATACCATGTGACAGGGTGCTTGACAAAAATCAGTTTTGGTTAGGTTAATCTTCTCAATTTCCAAATTCATTTGAAGAGTGTCTAGACACAAAACAAAGTCTAACAGCATGCAAACAACTAAAGTACATGTATTTGTTAATAAAAACAGAATCCTTTGATATTGCAATTGGAAAAAATCAAAAACAAAGAAAGATAAATGACTGGAAAATGTGATTAACTGAAACTACATGTATATAATGTTAAATAATGGGGAAAGGACTCTGACATGTGTTAAGGAAAACAACAATTACAATGTATTACTGTTGGTTAGAAATACATGTATCAATAATAGACCAATCTGGCTCTTGGTTCGTACTGAAGAGTTAATTTGGCCTGACATGAGTGTTCCTCAGTTGGGCTTATGATTGTGGAGAAGAGCCTTCATGTACTTCAATGTAAGTTCAAATATTTTGGTGATTCTAGGAAGTAATAGATTTCAATGAGCTCTACAAGAGCCCAATCATTGCGATTTTTTTTATAAATGTCATTCATGTCCCATTTTTACCCTCATTTTACAGATTTTTTCGTTATGTAATCTTAAGGCATTTTTTTGGTTTTTTTCAATTTGGACACTAATGCAAATTTGCACAGGTACAGGAATAGTTTGGTATCATTTCAAACCTAAACTTCATTATTACTGCCATTTCAACACTAAAATTGTCAGAGTGTAGATTGTTTTTGAAATTTTCTTTTCTATGGTGATTCCTGTCAGTAAATTTTTGTCACATATAATTTCAGCGACCAACATCAGGTTCACAACTTCAACAGAAAGACATACTATGACCCATGTCCTCTAGAAATGACATCAAGGCAAGTAAATCCCCTCTTGTCAGAAAGAGCATAGGGTTTCAGATGAGATCTCAGATGGTTTCATGCATTGAACCCTAACAGTCATTCCTCCTTCACCTGTTGGGAGGACTGAGGATTTTTAGGGTTCAGAGGACCAGAAAGTTGCACAGAATATGTACAAAAAGTACAATCTGTCATGAATGCAGTGCACTGCAGAACAAGCAGACCTCTGTTTCATCCAAAAGTGAATGCATGACTTTGGAGACAAGTGCGTACATGTGCCATGTACATGTAAGTGTTGGACTACATATATGAATACCAAATCCAGCTGACTACAAGCCTTCGCAAATGGAAATGACGAAAACTCTACATGTACATGCAAATCAGCTACAACTAAAATTTAAAGCAATCAGGAGTTCACTTAATAAGCAGCGAAACCTGAATCCTCTTTATGGTTTTGCCAATAGCCTCCTATGCCAATGGTACATTCTCTTTCTAGGTCCTACAGTCCTACTAAAAGCCATTCAGAAACACACAAAACAACCAAAAACAAAATTAAAACAAAGCAAAGAAAAATCAGGAGGCAACTTCCACTTATGCAACCACCGCCAACATTTGTTGATACCTGTACGTACATTATCTCCTGTTGGCAAAAGCACTACAAGCACTGGCAACATAAATGACGTACACGTAGCCAAGGTATTGAATTTAGGCAGATTTTAGAGGGGTCATTGTTTCACTATGAAATCAACAACAAGCGTGCTGTAAGTATGCACTGGAATTTGACAATATTTGACAATTTTTCATGAAGTCAACAAGTTAACCCACTGTGATACAGGGCCACATATAGTGTAATTTGATAACCAGAATTAGAAGCCATTACTGCAGTGGCACAATTCTCATGGACAGGTGGTACGTGCGCATTACATGCCTTTTCGACCAATAGGGTGTCGTGATTTGCCAAATATACGCACGCGTCAAGCTGAAGAATGTGCGTGTGAGTGCAGTGCCACCGCAGTTATGGCGTTTAAACGCATTGGTCTATAGTGTAAACCCACACAGCCACACAACCAAAATGGTTCTCCTATTCCAGGAAAAAGTTGGCATATAAAAAATAATGTATATTTTTCTTGTCTCATTCCCAGCAAAAACGTGTGGGGATTTAAAGCAGCACGTTTTGTTTCAAACAAGAATTATTTTCTTGTATATGTATGTGGAAAGTAAGAAATTACTTAATGCTGGATTGATCTGACAGCCAGAACTGTCAAAGTCAGTGTAGCTAGTTTCCCAAAAGACAAGGAAGAACACATTGAACTGAAACTGTTGAAGGTTACTGTATTACGTGGGTATTATTAAGCCAGTTAGTGCAAGCCGCAAACTACAAGCTGCAAAATATTAGCGCGATCTACATGCTGCAGCAATTGTACCTCATCGCAGATGTTTTTTCTAACCAAGTGTTGCAGCAGGAATTGACGGGTAGCCTGCAAAATGAGGAGAAACCGCAATGGTGGTCACGGTTACCAGCAAATATATGTTGTGCCAATGGGGGCTTAGGGATGTGCGCAACTGGTTGCAAACTTTGAGCTGATGAGTTTGGCCATTAAAGAAAACTCCAGATGATTATGTGTGACACATTTACATGTACGTATGTTGTACATATAGCTACAATGTATGTTCAATGCCACATCCCACTTCTAATAAACCTACAAAAGGATATAAAAGGAGATAAACAGATAATTGAAATACATGTCGAACTGAAACCCCAGTGTGTAAGCTGATGAAAGTAGACCTTTTAGATGTTGTAGAAATTTTGAAAATTTGAAGATATAATGCAATTTGAAAAAAAAAACCTTCTTGGCCAATCCCTGGAAACAGATTCTGGGACAGGCGAGAAGGGAAATGCTGAAAGAGCATGGGAAATTGAAAATAAGGCCAATACTGCCATGCACTGTACCTTACAGACATGTGACTGAGTCCTACCTGTTTTTTTTTTAATGATACACATTTCATACACTTTCATATGCATTTCATTTTTTTTAATCTACATGTTGTTTGCATCTTTCCCTGTTTCATGGGAACAGGTCACAAATGTTAATTTCTATTCTGAAAATGTGAGTCAGTTAATATTTGAATCCAGTTTTTGAAACCCTCACCAAATTTCTTGAAGCAA